GTTTATGGACAACTGTCTCGAGCGTTCATCACTTCTAGTGGTGTTCGTCAGGGGTGTCCGATGTCTTCTCTTCGTTATATATTTTTTCATGAACGATGACCATGGATTCATTATCTAACATTGTTGATTCTTATCGATTCAGAGAACGAAATCGCCAGCTTGATCCCGCTTAGCTGGCCCACGATGAATGTGTGGGTTCGCAGTAAACGTTCACATTGTTTGTCGCTTTAACCAGATTCATCTGAATAATGAATAATTTCTTGGTATGCAGCATGCCTTCACACTATTTGTTGCTCCCCTTGATTGACTTAGGCTATCAACTACGCCTCCCAGTACAGGATGCGTTCTCACTAGTGGCTGTCTCAACATCGCTCACTTAAACTGTAAAGAACGATTGAGTACGCATTCACACTAGTAGATAATTCAACCCGACTCACATGAACTAAAAATAACCTATGTATACGGAGTATATGTTCACACTAGTAGATGTTTCAACGTCATTCATTCAAGCTATGGATAACGCTTGCGTATGCAATATACGTTCACCCCAGCAATTTGTAGAGGACTGGACCGTTTCTATCTAGAATCATATCAATTCTCCACAATAATTAAACCAGAAAACCAGTTAGTGGACAACGACGTATATCGTAAGTAGACCGAGAAAACAAGCTGCAAACAAAGAACATCAGAAGCGGAGCGCGACAAACCAGTAGCCAGCGACCGGAACTTGCGAGCGTAAATTGTGACCTTGGACGGTCGAACGCACGAGAAACTGCAAGCATGCAATCAGACAATATCAATAGTGTCGGCGGCCAAAACAGATAGCAAGGTAGTTTGAATATGTGGCAAACCAAGAGTGACTCTACAAGCTACTTCAACCTGATCCATTGAACTGTGAATAACATCTGTATACGAAATGTAAGTTCACACTAGTAACCGCCCCAACGTCTTCCAATTAAGCTATGAAGAACGTCTTAGTACAACTTCACACTAGTAAATTATCCAACCTGACTTGCTTGCACCATAACTACCGTTCATGCATGCAGCATACGTCCACACTAGTAGCTTTTCCACCCGATTGACTTAGGCGGTCAGCAACCTCTAACAATACAGTGTCTTCACGCTAACCGATGCTTCAACTTGATTAACTTGAGTTATGATGAACGTCTGTGTGCGCAGTATAGATTCACATTAATAGATGCTTCAACCTCATTCCATAAAGCTATGAATGACGCCTGCGTACGCCGAATTGGTTCACACAAGTAGCTGCTCCACCCGATTGACTTAAGTTATGATCAACGTCTGGGTGTTCAGTGTATGCTCACACTAGTAACTGCTTCTTCCAAACCACTTTTACTGTGAACAATTTGGAGAATGAACACGTGAGGGAAGTGATGGAAAACCTCTATTTGGACGTTTGTGTTACATGGTAATCATCATCTTTGATTCCATGGTCTGTCATATTGATTGGAACATTCTTCTACACCGCGATAGATACTTGGCGTTCTAGACATCATAGTGCCACTGGTTGAGACGTATGCGTCCCGGTGATCGGCAGGCAGCTGGATTTCATCTGTTTTCTTATATCGTTCCGTAGGAACGCCATGCGACCTCAATCCAGTTAAAAACAATGCAGTAGATTGAATGGAACTTACTTCTGAAGATTCCTGATGATATAGTGGGAGATGACACAACTTTCTTACGTCGTTTCATATACAACTAAGTTGGAAACAACCATATGATAGCGTCATTTTCAACCATTTATAAGGGCAACGTTTAATCGACCAGTATTTACCTGAAATCTTGCAAACGAAGAGAAATGGGATGAATGTCGTGTAGACAAGGAAGCTGGAAGTATTTTCATACATGTTTCATTATGAAATGTGTTAGCGTTTTTGTTGGAATGCAAAACCAACACTGTATGTTTGTGTATTTCCATTTGGACCATATCTTCAGAACGCCTCAAAATGAAGCACTCTCAAACCATGGGACGACGTATGTCATCTCGAAAACTGCAATGATAGCATTTATACGATTTTAAAAATTGAGCTAACGATAATGACGGGTTGTTTTCGCCAGAATGGCGAAAGAATTTTGTTCTCAAGTCAACACTTTTGGAGCTTATCTGATGTATTTCAAATTTTCCATTAACGGCGCTTATTCCCAATTAGTGTACTGTACCTATTTTGCTAGAAATTCCTATTTTGGAACTTCCAAAAATGTTTAAGGAACAGGATTCGCGCCAAAATGACCGTTTTTCCCTTTTGAGAGACTTTCAAGCCGAATTCTTTGAAACAGACAACTGGGGAAACTTTGAACTCCACATGGACTTGCCAAAGGTGAATGAATGCGGTGGTCCGTATTCTGGACTGAATCTGTGGAACAAGTGAACCAGCTTTTCTCTGGTGCTTACATCAGTCGGTTGTACACTGTAACCCTTTTCCCTCTGATTACGCTTTCTTCAGCCGACAACTTTCACGCTTGCCCTATTGAGTAAATATTCTTTGTTCCGTATCACCTGTAATTATTTGCCACAATCACGCATATCCGAGCGTGTTTTTCGCAAGTGCATTGAGAAATGTACATTACCATTTATATTACAACCACAAACGAACTGGCCATAGCGTTCCTTAAAACTTTTGTGTGGCATCGATCCCAAAAACCCCGGGGTGACGCCGACATCACTCTATTAGTTCATCACTCATGAAAATAAAATGCTTTAGACAATTTTTATCGTCAGTGTTAAAATAGCACATACCGGTTTTGTTCTGTTTCACGTGCAAACTTCTGGAGTAGCCAACCGTGTTCCGTATCGCAAACAACTGGGCTAGGAGATTACGGACATCCCTCATCGTTTTGTTCTGATCAAAATGGTGCCGGATGTAATAAGTAAGGTTGAAGCAGGCAGTGCCGTTGAGCAGTCATGATCGAATTTTGATGATTTTTTCATCGATGAAACGGGGCCTCGAGGGATGGCGTCCCAAAAGTAATTATTCATCATGGCGAGGTTTGTGACGCAAAATCCTCCGTCGATTTTTCGGCTGACGTTGGGACCTGAGCAACGTTCTGTTTGACTGCTTGCTCCCTCTCGAGCGCCGAAAAATGAGCGCAAAACGTGTACCCTACTGGTGCATGCGTAAACGCATTTCCTATGATTACTGAACGCAGGTTCGGTTGATCGGATGCGGTTTGAGGAGACGGATCGGACTTCGAAACGCCGAAAAACCGCTCCAACTGCATCCAAATTACGGAAATGTCATTGGGACATGACATTACCAAAATGCTCCCGAAAGAAAATAGTTAAACCAACCGTATTTGCACTCATGCTTTCGGTTCGGGAAGAAGCATGCTTCTGACCTATACAGTACATTTATTGCGAGTGTCAACCAGTGACGACAAATGGAGTGGGGACACATATTGTCAGCCCACAAGGTGCATGGGGTTGACGGGATAAGGTAGAGGGGAGGCCATGTCACACGGCGAGAAGTGGACGGAATAAAAACAGGTAGCCACGTATCTGTAGGATGATTCAAGTGACATGGGATTAGTCCCCAGTTTCTTCTTCAACAGGCGAAATGACATCCTTTTTCTTACTCCGATAAACATGTGTTATAAGGGGGAAACTTTCGCGAAGGGTGGACGCACAAGACCCCGTGTTGAACGAACGGTGTGCGAGATTTTTAATTTTGGACGTTTTCGAGCAATCTACGAGGTCTTCCATCAAAGTCTGCCCAAGTGTTCGTCGAATTTAGAAATTTCCTATCCACCCTCACCAAAGCCGAATTATCCCAACACCTACCGCTGCTGTTGGTATCAAGTAATACCGCAACCCTTTGAGAGTGCATTCGGACGCATTTCCCGGCGTGACCTTGAACTACTTAAAACGTCGGCCCACATACAACAATGTAAAAAGTCAATCAACGTAGCACTCCATCTCGTGAAATGGATCTGTGGGGCAGGCGAGGTATCTTCTTTTTTGTGTGTGCACCAAAGATTTCTGAACTGCAATCCTTTTCCCTCTAATTTTGTCTTTTTCCTGACAGATTTCATGTATGTCGTACTACATAATTATTTGTCGTTTCGAAGCGCTCGCAACTATCTACAACGCTACTGCATATTGGAGCATGTTTCTCACAGACACACTGACAAATATACGTTAGAACAATATACGGGAAATTTCTCCAGGAAGTGAATGCAAGTGGTCAACTTCATGTTTGACGTAAAAGCAGTAAAGAAAGGTCGATCAACATACTACCGACAAATCAAATTCGTCGACTGGAACGTGTTCATCATGTTGCTTAAACCATTGAAGTGAAACACGCTGTTTCTGACATCTGGTTTTAGTACTGCGACCGGAGCTTTTCATGAACACTTCAGGTTTAACATGAACAGGTTTGTCCCACGAAGGACAAACTATCGTACTGTGTGCGATAAAGAGAGAACTCTCACACCGAAGGGGCATGATAAGATTAAAAGTCTTGAATCACTGCACCGAAAAACCCCTTCCACTTGGCAGGTGCATAAAGTGTTTTTTGAAGCTTTAGAGTATAAAACCAAAATGCTCCCACCTGAACGGTTAAAAGCGTGCGCTTAACAGCAAAGATAAAAGCTTCGAGTCTATGCAAAAGTTGAGACGCAGGAAATAAATGGAGAACCCCATTACCTCAGTTGAAACCCAACAAGACAAACCTCTCGTGGATGCTACTGTTACAGTTTGTAAGGTCTTTAGTGCCTACTTTGCTGCCCCTTTCAGAACTAAAGACAATATATTGCCCCACCTCCCCTTGTAAGCACAAATATGTTTCTAAGTTATGCTTCCATTGATTCAGTGCCCATGCGCGTTCGGTTAGTTGTTATCGGCCATTCTTAACTTTAGGTGGGACCCAACTGTGGAGTCAGGGCTTCGGCTGGATTCACACCGGCGACAGAAACACCATGCCTTAACGCAGCAAGCGCTCTACCAGCCGAGCTACGAAGCCACGCCGGGAGTTCAGGAGTTTCACATTTGGACTGGGCTACCCACCCGTCCAACTGTTTCATACGCAATCCACCAAGCGATCCAGGGGGTCGACTGTCCGGGCAGGAAATCTTGAACAGTTCAAGCCGTAATGCACCAACGTCACTGTTACCTTCCTGATCCTCATGGTAATCACCCTGTTGCTCTCAGAAACGGAGAGGGAGACATTCCTGTACTTTTGCTTAATATAGATACGTTTACTTTAACTTCAGGGGACATCCCTCCCTATCCCAATATAAAAGATACTCGCAACAAGACGTGAGGTATTATCGCCCCATTGACCAAATCTCAACGCATTTGTGAGAAACACGCTCAGAGGTGCGCGATAATGACAGATAAGTACATGCGGTACATAGCAACAAATGGATATAAAACAAGACAAGCATGAAATCTGATGACAAAATAAAGACGTAGTCAGAGGACAAACAGTCACAGTTTACTAGGTTCGATTTACACATAAGAAAAGATGATAGTTCGTCTGTTCCACAGATTCACTCCAAAAAAATGAGATATCACATTAGTTTACCTTTTACAAGATTGAGTAAAGGCGACGTTTCAAATATTTCAAGGTCACGTGGGGAAATACGTGCAAATGCATAATCGAGGGATTTCACCGTTATTTCAGAGAAACTTCGATCAAAAATAGTTGGACGAGGGAGGACGGAAAGTTCCAATATCCTGCGAAGAATTGAGCAGACTCCAGTGCGGGACCGCGATGACCACTGGAAAACGCTGAAAAGTTGAAAATCTCACTAATCGCTCGGCTAACATGGGGTTTTGAGCCCCCATTCACCACGGAAATTTTCTTTGCATTATGGATGCACGTGGGAATAAGAAAAATAGCGCAGTCATATGTTACATGGGAAAATGTGAAGTAACCACATGTAATATGATTAATGTAACTTTTATATATTTTGGCAAAAAATTTACGAGATACTAATATTTTTGTTTTTCCAATAAAGTATATAATTTATAAGTAGTTTGGCAGATTTATGAATTTAGATGAGACCCAACTGTGAAA